GCAGTAAATAAATAACCATTCCATGATGCTTGGGTAAATATCTTTTTAAATATGCAGCCCCCACACCACCTCCACCGCCACCATCCTCCACGAGCTTTCTCGCCACTCACTGCGTTCATTTCATTCTCTCCTAACTGATCTGCTGGTTTCTGTGCTTGGCCCCTTGTAGTCTATGCAGGCGCAGTGGCATCATTACTTCTATGCTATTGCTCTTTTGAAAATTCTCCCGGATGGATTCCCATTTTACTTAGAGTGTAAAGTTCCCTGCAGTGTGTCTCCCCATCCCTTTCTTCTCTGACCCCCCCTCTCTTTCTCTCTCTCTCTTTCTGCTCATCATGCTCAGCACTTCCCATGGCTACCCACAGCCTAGAAAATCGGGCCCCAGTTACTCTGAAGTTGCTTCATTCAGCCTCTTTTTCTTCTCCACAGCATTCATCCTCATCCAAAAGTGTATAGATTTCTTAATTGTTTAGTTGTTGGTTTGTTTATTGTCTGTCTCATTCACTGCGTGCTCCATGAGGGCAAACTATAACAATATCTGTCACGTAATAAGCAATCAATGATTATTTGTTAAATTTATGAATGGATGAGCTAGATCACAGAGTGGCTGATTTGGATCAACACCTTCTGTACAAATATTTCATTGGTAGTCAGACTATAGCTGATGCACATTCAGAGATATTCTAGTGAACTCCCAGCCACCAAACCTATTCAAGACCCCATCATCTGGAAACAAAGAAACACAACGAGGGTCTACTGCAGCCTTGAGTCCCTCTTTGTTTATTTTTATTTCTTTACTCCTGTTTTTAGTGTGGAAATGTTGAGTGCTCTGTCCCTGCTCCCTCCGCGCCTCTCCCCACTTGTACTAGCCACAGAGGAATCCATCCCTGTCTTGTGCTCACTACACATGGCATGAGTGGGCCCCCTGAATCCGGATTGACTCTACCATGAACAGTCATGTGCTTTTCTCCCCAAGATTGTTTGTGATTGTGGAGTTGGGGGGGGCCTGGGGAGATCAACGAGTTGGGGGGGAGGAGATCAGTGAGAGGAAAGGAGGGGATCACATTGGACTTAAAGTGGAGGCGGTGGTCTAGACTAATTGAGGAGATGGTGACGCCTGAAAGAATATGGATAATGGGGGGAAAGCGAGAGACTAAGAAGTTCTATGGATGTCCAAGAAGTAAAGTGGAAAGCTAGAAAAGGGCTCTCAGAAGAAAAAAGTGCTAGTAGTGAGTATAAACCTGAAATCCATACTTTCAGTATAAATCCACCAGTTATTCTTAGAAAGGATCTGGGGTGGAGCTGTGGGTTAGTAGCATCTGGACGGCCACTATCTACCTATAAAGTGGGATATTCCGTAGTTTTTAAGTTATTAGAGGATTGTGAAGATGACGAAAAGACAAGCGGGAGATAAGAATGAGTAAGTGTCAAAGAGAGTGCCAAGGAGCTGCGTGGTGATCATTACAAGGAAGAAAAGATGGAGGAAATGACAGGAGCCTCAGATGACCTGTGTTTTCATGAGGAAAATTGAGGAATGCCTTGTCACCATGACAGGGAGCTAAAATATTTGCCTTCTTGTCACCTCTTGCCCCATTGCTACCTGGTTCTGACTACAATACATCACCAATGATACGAAACCATGAGACATCAACACTAAAGATGACAGCAGGGGTGTTATCCTATGGAAACCACAGAATCCAAGGGGAAAATGATGGTTTCGTCCTTGTTTGAGGAGACTGAAGGTAATGGTAACGAGGATTCCATGGAGCATTGTTGGAAAAATAAGCAAGAAAGCGAGAGATTGAAGGATGACCTAGGAAAGAGAGAGTAGAGAGCAGGGACAGGACTGAGGACAAGAACAGACGCCCAAAGGAATTTGCTGAGCTCAAGGTTCCAAGGAACCTTCTGGTTAAAGTGGTCCAATGCTAGACAAGCTGAGACCTGATATCTCAGGCTCCAAGTGGTAAGACACAGGTAGGAAGGAATACAACCAAGTCTAATTCCGCACACGTAGGCACTCTTTCCTAAGCCTGCACTGTGAGTTTGGCACTATGTTAAACACCAGGGATTAACATTTGTACATCTGGAAAATTACATGCACAAGTTACATTATAGTTTCAACAAGCATAATAAATATAATTACCAATCTCCCTAACACGTGGTTTTATTGCTAGTTTTAGAGGTTATAGAACTGGCCCAGAGGTAGAAACTCTCAAAAGCAAATCAGAAGCAATTAATAAAAAGAAATAAATGCTCATAATTTCTTCACCATCTGTTAAGAAATGGACTCTTCCTGCTCCTTCAGAAATCTAGTTCTCAAACTTCCACCGATGAGTATTCTGAGTGGCAATGGGACTTTCTTGCTTCAATTCTAGAATCCTGACCAAGTGTCTTAGCTGGAGGTCAGATCTGTGCAACTGTTACCAAGGAAAATCTTTCTAGAAAAAAATGAGAACTATATTCAGTATGTACCGCCCATGGAGCTATTTGTAATATGCTGGTGATAAGCCATTTGTTTCTTGAATCTTCTGAAGCAATGGCCTATTCCTCACCCCCAGAATCCCATGTTCTGTCTTTCTCTTTCTCATGAATACCCCATAGCAGTTCATGGAAATGTAAATCTCTCTGTCTGTGGTTCCCAGTATTTCTATGCCTAGGCTAGCTCCAATTTGGCTTTAGCAGTTTGACTTTTATTTAAGTTGAATTTTTTTTTTGCTTTTGCTTGTGTCTGTTTATGAGAGTCTCATGATACAGGTCAAGCTGGCTGGGAACTCTCAGACATCCAACCATCTCTTCCAAAGTGCTAGCATTGCAGGCTGTACCACCCGGCCTGGTCTGAGGTGGATCGATGATAATTGTTAGTATGGTGAATCCCTCTTCCTTCCACATTTCCTTGGGGTCATTTGTCTTTTTTGAATTTAAGACTTGTGGTTTAATTTGCTACTAAAAATAACACACCAACCCCAACAAAAATGCACAATTCCACCTTCCAGGTGAGTTGGTTTGGTGATCACTCAAGGCTGTGACAGTGTCAGCCCCCTGGAGGCCAGCATGCTAAAGGACACCCCCCACCCACCCCCCAAGGGCACAGTCCTGGCCTGGCAGGAGAAGATAGAGCATCACAGCCAGTGGTCCCAAATGAACTTGGACATGGAAACCCACAGCAGTGCTACGTGTGAGTCGTGGGCCTGCGATGGGAACCATTGGGTGGCCAGGGCTGAGGAGCACTGCCGTCCTGGGTCTGTGTGCCTCAGGGCTGGTTGTGGGGAACCAAGGAGGTCAGAGTGCGGTGGGCTTTGCCACTTCCCTCCTTCCCAGTGACAGACCATGCCCTGAAGGTGATAAACGTTTAAAGTTTTCAATTCATACTGCCAACTTCTTATGGTTTCCCCGTGTGTTTGGGCTGCTTAGTAGTGTCATCTACTTCATGCTCACCAGAACTGAGTGTATTTGATTTTTTAAAATATATGGTTTCCAAATGCATTAAGAAAAAGAGGTGTCTCAAAGAGAAAGACTGAATCAAACTATAAACATCAGATCTAGAAAAAAAGAAGTGTCTTATTATTTATAGTGAAGATGTGTTATTTGTAGATAATTGCTGATTTTCAAATATGAAAATTGCGCATCTTGGAGGCAGCAGAAATGGGCAAGAGTTACTTCTACATGATTCACAATTTGTCTTAAAAGTTCTACAGAGGAATGGAACCAGTTGAATGTGAGAGAGAGAGAAGGAGGTGGGGCTTAAGTACATAAATTGATGAGAGAATTTGTTAGGTAAGTTTCCCCAGTCAGAGCTGAATAGCCCCACAATGGCTCTCTCCTGGCTGGAGAGCCAGGAAAACCAGTACTGCCCAGTCCAAAGGCCAGAGGCCTCAGAACATTTACTGCAGGAGAGTGGGAATCAGTCATTTCTCAAAAAAAAAAAGAGCCCATCTTTATTTTAAGATAAAATGGTTATCTAGCACTCAAGACCTGGTGCCAGTTGCACTCATTGGAATTCCATTGCTTCTGGGACAAATATATATATATATATATATATATATATATATATATATATAATTTAAACTAATGCTAGCAAGTTTTGTCCTTACCTGTTACTTTATTTCTGAATAGTAGGAAGATATTCAATTGTATTTTAATTAGAGTTATGAGACTTTCAGAAATTAACTAATTAAGGTGATAGAGGCATTCTTATTACACCTAAATTATGAATGAAAATTGATAACATAGAGAAATTAGATAACTCTCCAAAGCCATACATAAATGGGAATTAAATTTCTAAATTACATAATTTTATCCCTGCCATTCTTTCCAACCACATGCATGGAAAGAAATTAAGCTAGAAATATATTGGCACACATTTTTCTATTCATTTGCCCTTAGAGAATCAAAATAATTTTTATTTTGACACAGGGACTGTATTGTCAATACATGTGTATATGTGCACTTTATGTTGTACTTTTAGACATAATGGGAATAGTTCTGAAAACATGTGTTTATTACCAGCAAATTGATTTCTTATTCCTTACATCTAACCACCATTATACTCTTAGAAATAAGATGTCACCTAGGAAAAGGGATATTTAAGGTCAGTATATCCTGACTAGAAAAGACAAAGAAGGTAAGAGCCAGTCCATTCTACCCACAAGGGATTTTGGTACAAAGTAGATCCATGCAAGTAACCATAGAAGGAGCAAGTCTCCTTCTCAAAGATGTAATCCAGAGTTAGAAAGGGTGGTTAAATGAACTGAGAGTCTGTTAGTTCAAATAACCTCAGATCTAAAATAAACCCAGCAATTCCCACCTCATCTAGATAGGGATAGTAAGAGTGTGGACAGAGAGCTCCTCGTCTAGAAGCGGATGGGGTACGAAGTGGACATGGAAACCAACTGTATGGTAAAACAGTGGCCGTGGTAGCAGCTAAAGCTGTGACTGTGGTGGTTTAAGATTGAAGTGGAGAGGTGCTGACAGTCTGGTGACAGTAGTGACAGATTTTATGCTCACGGTGTTGTTTGATTGGTGGTACTTGTGGAGGGAGATGAAGTTGTGGTCATAGCTGTTGTGGTTTGGGGCTGGGTTGATGTGATGGTGGTGGCTGTTGAGACGGTTGTTGCAATGGGTGTTGTTGCACTGGTGGTAGATGCTGTTGAAGTCGTTGTACTTGTGGCTACAGTTGCTGTTGTGGCTGTTGTGGTTTGGGATGGAGTTGAAGCGATGGTGGTGGCTGTAGTTGCAGTAGAGGTTGTAGTAGTTGGAGTGGGTGTACTTGGGAGTTCAGTTGAAGCTATGGTGGTGCTTGCTGTGGTTTGGGGTTGAGCTGAGGTGACAGCTGTGGCCGTGGTTGTGGTGGGTGTAGATTCTGCCGCTGTGGTTGGAGATTCTGTTGGAGCAGGTTGAGCAGGAGCAGAGGTTACTCCGGGTGCAATCATGGTAGTCTGTCCATTTGGGAGTAGCTGGATAATAACGGAAGAATTGGTTGCTTTATTATTCACTAGAGACAGGAAGAGGACTCCAATTGCTGTTGTCACCACACAGGCAAGGAGGCAAGCCAGGAAGACTTTACACAGAGACCAATCTCTGTAGCAACTTGCATTCCCCTGCAAGGGCATAAAGTAAAATGTCAGTGATAAAAACAAAAGTGTGTGGCTGCCCAGCTCTTTCACCTTACTTATAATTTATTGTGTTCACATTGTCTGAATCACTAGTTATCTCTGACATATAAGCTTTAAAAAAAAGAAAAACATGACTTATGTAACTGTAACCCCTCTGCACATCACCTTGACAATAAAAAAAAATCAATTTTGTATAGTTTATGTTAGTCAAAATAAAATAGGGATTTGGCTTAAAGTTCCAAAACAAAGAAAAAGAAAAACAGATTTTTTTCATCAAAATGCTTTCCCTTGCATTTGAAAATGACATGTCTTCTCCTATCTTCTTCTGCTATTTTATTTTAAATAAAATTTGTATTTTCTACCAGTCTTAGATTCACAGCAAAATTGAAGGGATGATAAGCAGCTAACTCCAGCGTCCTCCTCTAGATGGCGCCCTGTCATGCAGAGTCCATTGTTTAAGGATGCACTCAGGCTGTTGTACGTTTTACATGTGGATATATATTATATATAATGCATAATGATGACTATTCACCACTACAGCATCATTCAGAGAAGTTTCACTTTCTTAAAACTCCGATGTCTCTAGCTACTTCTTTGTTCACCCTTGTTTTTTTAATCATTTTATGCGACCAGAAGAATATATTTTGTTTTGTTTTGGGGACTTGGGGTTTCTGCTTTATTTTGTTTCACTTCTCTTTGTTTTACAGTACTAGAGTTGGAATAAAGACCTTGTGTTTTCTCGGCAAGGGCTCTAGCATTTGATAGAGTTCCTCTGGTTTCCGTTTGGGTTTTATTTTGAACAGGATTTTAAGAACTTTTGCCTACGATTGGTCTCAAACGTTCATCTTCCTATTTCTATCTTCCCAGCAGTGGAATTATAGGTATGTACCGCCATGCCTAGATTAAAGACTTTAGAGATAGAACTATGAAGTACACTTAATGCAACCAACCAGACATGAAGCATGGCACGCTGAATGGGGTCTCTAAGGCTAATGGAGAAGCTCCAAAGAACAGCTAGGCTTCTAAGTCAGGGATACGTGTTCCAGAGGCTGGAGGCCAGGGAATCAAATACAATGCCCTGGAGAGACTCAGAGTTGTAAGAGTGCAAGAAAATAATTACCAACAGACTAGGATTTACATAGTAAAAACAAGCATATTTTGAAATATGACAGTTTTCCACCAGTCTAACTAATCCACTATACTGCTAATGCATTTGCTATTCTGGCCACTTTTTGACCATGTATTTGGCGTTATATTTATTCCTTTCATTTCCATAAGAAACCTGTTTTATTGATTCTCTTGATGTTCTCCATTTCTTGTGACTTTTTGGTTTCCAGACTAGTTCTCTGAATATAGAGATTATCAAATAGTTCCTTCTTGGGAATTGCCTTCAAGTAATCTGCACTGTACTAAAAGTAATTAACTACATTTCCTAGGAAAGAATAGGAAAAGTGCATCTCTATGCAGAATACAGAATACATCAGAACCTGGGAGACACGGGCTGTAGCAGGCATTACCTGCGGGTAGGGGGGTTCTGGGTGTGGGCATCCTGCATGCGCGTGGATACTTGGGCTCATCCAGACCCCAGGCAAGTTGGAAGAGACATCGCCAGTTATGTTGTTCGGAGGTGGACACCAGCCTGTGGAGCTGCAGGCCCCTTGGGCATTGGGACACGTGCAGACCTACAGAGATGAAACATGGGTGAACCAGAAGCCATGTGTTGAATTTCTCAAATTAAAGTCTCTGTCAAAAACAAATACTGTGTGGAAGGGGGACATTTGGAAGAAAATGAGGGAGGGGGCCACACTGCTCCAAAAGAAATGTACTCATTACCTGACTTAGGTAATGTATTATGCGATTGGATGAACAGACTCCGGTTGAAGTCACTATCAGTGGAATGTATATGTATATGTCATGTTGGAGATGGAAATCTTGAAGCAAATGAGCTGAAGTCATTTGACATCGTGGGGCAGTGGCAGACACGGCAGCCCACACCTCCCAATACTAAGTCCAATGTCCTTCCATTAAACCCTGATAGCTCTATGATATATACTTGAGATGGTGCATTATGTCAATATATAGCATATAATCTATACAGTGTACATTATAATTCACCGTACTCATGGAACATTCTCAAAGAGGCTACTGTATTCACTTGCCACAGTGCTTTATTCACTGGAACTCGTAACCCCTTGCCAGAGACAAATCATTTATCTAGTTTATGCTCTCCATAGTCCCCTGCTCTCTCAGGCATATATTAGTGTGAAAACACGTTCAAAGCAAAACAAAATTTCTACTTTCAAGAAAGTATTCACTAAAGGCACAAAGAACCTGTATATACTTAAGAAATTACTGCAATAATTGTAAAAAAAAAAACATTAGGAGGAAGGGATAAATAAGGATTGAAAATGAGTGAATTTTGTGGGAAAGGCTTTGGGAAAAGATGTAAACTTGTGGGGTGTGGGGGGCTTGAGCTCAGGGCCTGGGCACGGTCCTGGAGGTTTTTTGCCTAAGGCCAGGAGTCTACCACTAGATTCCCACTAGACTACCACTACAGCTACACTTCTGGGTTTTTTGGGTGGTTTATTGGAGAGAAGAGTCTCATGGACTTTCCTACCCAGGCTGGCTTCACACTGTGATCCTTAGATCTCAGCCTCCTGAGTAGCTAGGATTATAGGCATGAGCCACAGGTGCTGGGCTAAGATGCAATTTTTCTAAGGGGAGTCTGGAAACTAGACTAAGAAAATGAACATAGAATATGTCCAGAGATCTTGGGCAAATTGTTTGGTTATATTTTAATACTGCTAATTCATGTGGGGTCTACACTGCATCAATGAATGCAATGATAATGCCGCAGATACATGGGGGGGGTCTTCATTTCCTAATAACATTTGCTTTCTCACTGTGAGTCAAAGGCATCTTTATCTCTCCTTGCTCTTCTCCAAAAGATCGTCTACTTGGAGGATGAGTGATAAGCACGTAAGCATGGAATGCATGACGCTGAGTCAGACACAGGGTGTCTCAATAAGTGCTAACTAGATTGACTGTTATAATTGGCAGCATCAGGGTTTTTATTGTTATTACTGCCATTACTACTGTTTGCCTTCGGTCGTATTGATTTAACAAACCATTACTAAATAACTATGGAAGTCCATGGTCAGCCAAAAGTCAGTTCCATTAAGATTGTCACACTAAAACAAAAACCGTCAAACTAGAATCTGCATAGCCCTCAGTCCATTAGGAACTGCTATTTAAAACTACAAAAAGTGCAATTTTCATTAAATGTAGAATAACAGACTCCCAGTAGTAAGCAATTCACTAAGTTGGGTTTTTCCCACAAGTATAATATCAAAAACAAAGACAATGGATCCATTTTTAATGAATAAAAATTAAGCACAATTGCATTTGTTAATCACTAAGCACATAAGAAAAGTTTGAACCTAACCTAAATTAACATTTTCCAATTTATTTAAGTGCCAATTCTGTTAGTTCACCTGTAGCTGATGGACTTACTTAGGTATTTTAATATACTTTGTAAATATAGGAAGACTCATCCACTAGGGTGGATTAGGAGACTTTTTTTTCAGCTCTGATAGAATACAAGTCCTTTGAAAGAAGATGATGAATGGGTGGACATTAAGATGGAAATCCTATGATATTGGCTGAGCTTTATAATAACATTGCACCCTGAGTAATAAGTTTACTGTTTTATTGTTTTGATCCATAGTACTGGTAGAGTCTCTAGATGAAATTGCAATAGTTAGTGAATGTGGACACTGTTTAGTCAGATCATTGGCATCAACTAATAAAAACTGTAAGTATATTAGCAACATTTTCCAAGAATTTTTTCATAGATTTCTTCTGCCAACTTTATAAGGGTAAACTAAAATCTCATAAATTAAGATATCTAAAACAAAAAAGATAGCCAAAATCTGTTTTGCTTGTTCTCAATTAAAAAAAATGTTCTCAATTAAAAAAAATTGTATGGTACTACTGAATTTAGTCTTAAGAAAAAAAAACATTTTAGAACTATATCACATATCTACAATAAAGTAAAAACACATCAGCTTTGAGACAATCCTGAGAACCACCTGAAGATAGATGCTAAGAAACTACCAAGATGATGATATCTCCCTAAGAGGATTTTTTTTCCATTTGAGTATTTGGATATCTTGAGGACCCAAGTGTAGTGTCATCTTAAGAAGTGACAAACAGAGCATCTTCAGGAAGGCCCAAGAGGGCAAATATGTGAATCAGGAGTCACCTGTGACATTCTATCATTTAAGTAACACTTATGGAGCTGCAGGACTTTCTTCTCTGGTTTATTGCCTAAGTAATTAATGCAGGTTGATTGCCAAAGCTCTGCATGGTGAAGGCATGTGAATTTTATAAGCCAATCATATCATTAAAGCTTTCACATTCACCTATAATAATTCCTAAAATATAATGTAGTAAAATATATCAACAAAGGTGGTGGTGGTGGCAATGGTGATGTGTGTTTTTGCTTTGGAATTTTTTTCTCTTCTGGGGGAGGGGGATAAAGGGAGAGAACAGAAAGGAAGAGAGGAAGGGTAAACAAATGTGATCATGCTACTCAGTATATACTATGTGGAAAATGAACTATGTAACTTGTGGGCAGGGATGGGAGGAGGGAACTGAGGGAAAGTAAAAGAAGTGGTTACATTGTCCCCCAAAGAAAGGTACTCATTACCTGACTTCTGAAATGGTAGCCGCGCCTCTGCACAACATCTTTATGACAATAAAATCATTTTTTAAATTTGTAACAGTATATCTAATACAGGTCTACTCTTTCTTGAATAATGCAAACCTAGGGGCTGGAGTACAGAGTAGTGAGAGGATTACATAGCTTGGAAGTGGTGAGAATAATGCGATGACATAAGCAAGCTACCCACGTGGAGCAGCAGTACTCACTCACCAGCTGGCTTCTGGAGGGCTCTGCATTCACTGTGTACGTTCCTTGCTTCCTGTCCATTCTTGGGGGGCCAACTGTACCAACTTAACTCCAAGAATATTCTCCAACTATTCATTGCCCTTTATATCTGCAGTCAACAGAAAGAATTAAAACAACATTCACTGTGATGCACCCATACAGGTATGCGTTAAATTGAATAATATATAATTATTCACTAAACGAGTGCTCCACCTTAGAGGAAGAAATGAGGCATCAATTACAGAAAGACACATGAAGACCAGCACTGCCCCTGGAGACTCCCTCACTGTCTTTAAGGAGGCATGAATACTTCACAAATACATGCATCTACATCACATTTGGAGAATGTGATTGTAACTGTGGGACTGTTTGGGGCCTGTGGATGGAGAGAAAATGCTAGAGGGCAGATAATATTGTGACATGTGGTGTTTGTCTGTTGGGTAATCCTTCCTTCTCTTCATGTTGGATTTATCTTTCACATGCTTGTCTTCTCTTTGTTCTACATCTCAAGGGAAAAAATTTGAATGTGCTGGTTTGTCATTGAGTTTTCTCTCCCCAAGCACTCATTCTTTTCTTTCCCTTCCCTGCTGATATCATCTCTTGTGTGCCTAAGGCCTTTGAGGATCTTCGGCTTTCAGTTCCTCTGCTGATGACTAAGAAAATCTGCCCCTTCAGAGCTAAAAAATAAAAATAAAATGGAAGAAAGACAGACTCTTCAGTAAATGGTGCTGGCAAAATGGGTTAATCAGTTGTAGCAAACTAAAGCTAGATCCTTATATACCACCCTGCACCAGAATCAACTCCAAATGGATCAAAGACCTTGGAGTCAAAACAGACACCCTGAAAACATTACAGGACAGAATAGGAAAAACCCTAGGTTTCCTTGGCACAGGTTGAAATTTTCTTAATAGAGATCCAGAAACACAACAAATCAAAGAAAGGTTGGACAAATGGGATTACATGAAATTGCAGAGCTTCTGCATGGCAAAGGACATAGCTAGCAAGCTCAATAGAAGATCTTCACTAGCCATACAATGGACAAGGATCTCATATCTAAAATGTACTTGGAACTCAAAAAATTAAATCCCCCAACAACAAATCCTCAAAGAAACAACTGCCCAATAAATAAGTGGGCTAAAGACTTAAAGAGAAACTTCTCTGAAGAGGAAAGAAGGATGGCCAATAGACACATGAAGAAATGTTCAACCTCCCTAGCCATAAAAGAAATGCAAATCAAAACAACACTGAGATTCCACCTCACCCCAGTTAGAATGGCTATAATCAAGAACTCTAATAACAACAGATGCTGGAGGGGATGTGGACAGAAGGGAACCCTACTGCATTGTTGGTGGGAGTGTAAACTTGTTCAACCATTTTGGAAAGTAGTATGGAGGTTCCTCAAAAGACTCCACATAGAGCTCTCCTATGACCCAGCAATCCCACTTTTGGGCATTTCCCTGTATGATCACAAACAAGACCATACTAAAGCACCCAGCACAACTATGTTTATTGCAGCATTATTTACATAGCTAAGATATGGAACCAACCCAGATGCCCCTCAGTAGATGAATGGATCAAGAAAATGTGGTATATAAACATAATGGAACTCTATGCCTCCATCAGAAAGATGGAGGAAAGGGAAAGGAAATGGAAAGACTTGGAAAAATTATATTAAATAAAGTAAGTCAAGCCCAAAGAAACATAGATCCCATGGTTTCCCTTATTTGCAAT